TGAAACTATCAAGAAGAAGAATGAATGATCTGTGAAAATACTAAAATTCTGTAATATAAACCAACTATTCTCAATTTTGTACAATATATATAAAAAAAATAAGAAACAACACAATACAGAGTTGAGGAAAGGTTTTCATTTAATTAAGCAATGCGACAAGGGCCCAGAGGTCAGACTGGGATTATATTTTCCGGTCTTTAAAGCTTTTTGCGAACACCAGCACATTTTACCACAATTTTACAGTTCATAAAATTTCACTCTTTGTGTTTTGTATTTTTGTTTTCTTTTAGGATTTCTTTATTTCGTGCATTTTTATTTTTTTAGTTAAGTATCAGTAAAATTTTGTACTTGGAATTACAATGTGTTTGTAAAAATAAATTATGGTATACCTATTCAAAAATACTTTTCAAAAAAAATATATATATATGTGTCGTGGCTCATCTTTTGCTTTGATTGGTATTTTGATACTAGAACAGACCTTCAAGACCTATGTGTATCGGAAAATTCATGAATAAAAGATAAAGAGAGAAAAATCTACTATTTAGCAATTAGTAAAAAATACACTTTAGTCAGATTTAGTCATTACCAGTACAAAAAATGTGATCTTTCTGATACTAAATTTTACTACAAATCGTCTAAAAGTTAAACTAGAAAATTCCATTATTTCGAAATGGATGTTGTTGTTTTAATTAAAAATATTGTGGTGTTAAATCATGACAGGAAAATTGGTAATTTTAATTTTAATCCTAAATGCAATGCTAATACTGTATTGAGGCCAGAGCGCCTTCATTCATGGGCCAGCAATTTGAAGTCACCATCCATATTGCCTACACCGTCTTGAACGGCGCTATATAGGTTCGTTTAGAACAGAAACGTTCACATCTACATATCAGAAACCATAAATAAAAACCATAAATCAAACCTATTTGTATATCACATATTATTAGTTAAATTTCAAGCAATTATTACAAAAAAGTATAAGTATTTCAGGAGCTAGTAAAAACTAATTGATAGTTGTTTACGCAACGATTGCGTAAAGACTATTAACGCAAGTTGCGTACACTACTTTACCTACGACCGAATAATACCTTTATAGGCCTAATAAATACGTTACTTGTTTTCAGGGAATAGATTCTGCTAAATTTACCAGCATTCTTGCCATAAATACTGTATCAGGTACAATTAGGGAAATATTGCATTTTTTGACAACTGAATAATATAGTGAAACAGTTAATTATTTACAGTTAGATCTCAGCATCGAATATATTTTTGTCAACACTTAATTATTAATCGACGCATTAAATAAAACTATTAGCTTGGTCATTTCAGATACAGTACAATATTGTATAGAATACTAGCTGTACCCGCGGGCTTTGCCCCGTTTTACTTCATAAGTGAGCTCATTCGCATGGTTCAATCACGTCCTGGTTGAAGTTCGTTCGCTACGCTCACTCACCTTTAGGTTGAAGCTCGTTCGCTGCGCTCACTTGTCTTCAGGTTAGCTCGTTTGCTACGCTAACTCGCCTCCAGGTTGAAGTTCGTTCGCTACGCTCACTCACCTTTTGGTTGCAAATTAGATGTCTGTAGTCATAAATTTAAAAAAATAATAGTGTGCTGCACCCTGTTGGTAATCCTTGTAACTTAAATGCTAATTGCACATCATAGAACAGAACCAACTTGTTTAATTGAAACAGATGTTAGGATTCATTAATTCCATTTAAATATGAGTACTCATAAGGTTAACATGGGAAACTCCAGAGCCACTGGGGCGGAGCCCGAGAGTCCGATCAGAATAAAAATAGCTTAGTTTTCCTATTTAATGCCTAAAGAATCAGTGTACCAAATTTCAGCTTCCTAGGTAAATGGGAAGTGGGAGAATTAGTGATGAGTGAGTCAGTGAGTCAGTGAGGGCTTTGCCTTTTATATATAGACTAGCTGTACCCGCGGGCTTTGCCCCGTTTAACTTCATAAGTGAGCTTGTTCGCATGGCTCAATCACGTCCTGGTTGAAGTTCGTTCGCTACGCTCACTAACCTTTAGGTTGGAGCTCGTTCGCTGCGCTCACACGTCCTGGTTGAAGTTCGTTCGCTACGCTCACTCACCTTTACGGTTGGAGCTCGTTCGCTGCGCTCACTTACCTTCAGGTTAGCTCGTTCGCTACGCTACCTCGCCTCCGGGTTGAAGTTCGTTCGCTACGCTCACTCACCTTTTGGTTTCAAATTAGCTGTTGTCAAATATTTAAAAAAAATAGTAGTGCTGCACTCTGTTGTTAATCCTTGTAACTTTAATGCTATTGAACATCATAGAACAGAACCAACTTGTTTAATTGAAACAGCTGTTATGATTCATCAATTCCATTTAAATATGAGTACTCATTGGCTTAACATGGGAAACTCCAGAGCCACTGGGGCGGAGCCCGAGAGTCCGATCAGAATAAAAACCACTTAGTTTTCCTATTTAATGCCTAAAGAATCAGTGTACCAAATTTCAGCCTCCTAGGTAAGTGGGAAGTGGGAGAATTAGTGATGAGTGAGTGAGTCAGTCAGTCAGTGAGGGCTTTGCCTTTTATATATATAGATTGTAGGGGATTGTAAGTGCGAAGTGAACATGTGAAGTCACTCAGGGGGCGCTCTGTTTTACTGCCAGGGGTTGTAAAATAGCAATAAACCGAGCAGTTTGCCACCCCCACTGTGAGATAACGTTTTACCCTTTAAACATCAGGTGTTTGCTAAATTCGAGAGGTTTTAGACCCTGGAGCTTTGGCACAAAACACATTATTATGCTTTAGCATGGCTTGAAATAATTGATCGATGCTAGTAATTATTTTATTCATAATAGTTATAGGAAGTGTGCGTTGGAGTATTTAAACAATTTTGCTAGTAAACGTTATAATGTTTGAATAATATTTTCAAATGGCAGATATACTTTGGAACCAGTTTTAACAAAATATTTTGAGGCTGTAAATATTTTCAGTTTTATAAATAGTAATTTTTCCAATACTTAAACAATTATTTGTGTATATCAACCTTAAAAATTTAATTTAATTGATTGACGATTCCTTATTAAATTTCCTTTGCAAGGATGTTAAATATACTTCTTGTATTTAACTTATGTATCTATGCATTTTCTATGAGTAAAACAATCATAGTAAACGCAGAATCAGTTGCTTCATGTTTTTAATTAATTTGGAATATACCCTAGCATAAGAATTAATACTAAATAGTCTAAAATCAGACACACTAGTAGTCAATTTCAGTATTCAGTAAGCCTGTTACATAGCGCCGCGCCTTGCAGTTAAGTGTAGGCTATATAGACACAGACTTCAAATTGCTGTTCAATGATTGAAGGCACTCGGCCTCCATACAGTGTTAGCATTATATTTATGTTTATTACGATCAAAATTACCATTAGTAGTTCCTGGCATTAATAGTTCCTAGTAATGGTTTGTACCTGAAAAAAGAGTATTTTTTTCTACAGCTAAGGTGGATTTAAATTTGTATTTGTCCCTCCTTTGTAAAAGGCACTCAATTTTGAAAACAATTAATTTGAATAAAATTGTACCATCAATAAAATAATACTGTCACATCATAGACTGAACTGTCACAATTGAAAGGTATTACAGCTGTTTAAAAGTGTTAACTTAGACCTGTAATCCAGCCACTAGGAGGTCACAAATTGTGGATATTTATAGGCACACACTGTGGATGCGATCCTCCCTGGTGTGGATTAACGTCCGCACGAGTGAGTACTACGACTATCCGCAGTACTATCCTGATAATTAGACCAATTCGTATATACCAAGGAAAATGTGGTTCGGATTCCACTATAAACTAGGTCCCTTAGTTGCCATTAGCTGTATGGGCTATTAATTAACAGCTGTGTCTAAGGAATGTCAGCCTTAGTCACTAACAAGAGTACGAGATCGCGCCACTCATCCTACACTCATCTCCATTCATACTTGGCTTAAAATACCTACTATGTATGGTTGCCATTTCATTGAACAGTATTGAATAGTATATTGGAAATCTCTCGATGTTTAAAATATTGTAAACAGCGCCAACAGCTGCGAAATACAAGGGTGGATATCAGTCAGCGAACCTATTATTAGGGCAGTTTACCCCAGCAAAGTGGCTGTTTGCCAAAAGTCAGTTTTATTCTCTCCGATTCCCGGAAATATCGACATTCATTACATCTCCACCGTGTAATCTGGTCGGTAAAATGCCGCTAGAATTTATGGCTTTATTACAAAAACCATTCGTTTCATCCTCTAAAACGAGATAAGGGGTTGACGCGGGGAATTTATTGGGTTCGCCGCGTTTTATTGGTGGATTTATATTCTGTCGCTCTGTAGAATAATTAATTAAATAACATAGAAAATTCCAAGGATGAATGTATGTAAATTGATTAAATATTTCTAATGCAACAAATGTTTTGATGGACCAATGATCAAGGGTAGTTAAGTACGATTTAAAACCACGTGAAAAGCTGTATTTGTTTGATAATCGGAACCTACTTGCTTTAATTCCTCCAACGTCCCATAATACTAGTTCAAACATCTTCTAGTCTGATTAGATTGATTCCAATTAGTTCTAATCGAGTCTAATGTTGTTGTTCTAAGGAATATATAGTGTCTAAGGAATATCGGCCTTAAGTCACTAACAAGACTACAAGATCACGCCACTCATCCTACACTCATATCCATTCATACTTGGCTAAAAATACCTAATTTGTATGGTCATTTCATTTAAAAGTATTAAAGTGTTGTTCGAATGCTTGGTTATCCAAATGTAGGCAAGTAACTTTTACGCAATAGCCTAAAAGCAATGCTAGAGAGTATACTGATTGGTACCTATGTTCAAACAATATTCCCCACAAGAAAAATGCTTACACATATTATTACGTAATCAAATTCATTTTCCAAAGGAATATTTTACATAGTTCAAACCTACAATTTTAACTGTATATCCTTCATTTCAACATCACTCCTTCACTTAGTTAGTTACTCCTTCACAATAGCATCCTTCACTTAGTTGCATCCTCCAGGTAGGCTATCAAGTCCGCTCGCTCCTGTTCCTTCTTGATGCCCGCAAAGATCATCTTCGTCCCAGGAATGTACTTCTTCGGGTTCTCCAGATACTCAAACAGCGTCTCTTGGCTCCAGACGATGCCTTTGGTGACGTTTGCATCGGTGTAGGCAAACCCAGGAGCTTGCCCTGTCTGTCTACCCAGCAGGCCGTGCAAGTTAGGCCCAACTTTGTGTTTTCCCCCCTTTTCCACCGTGTGACATTGAGAACACTTCTGTACAAACACTTTCTTCCCTTTCTCAGCATCTCCGGGAGGAATAACCATTTTGTTTAGGATTTACTATAAACGTTTTGATTTAAAATTTTGTTTACAAGCAAGTCACGTTTGTTTATTGTGGAAATCAGCTGCTCTTAAATTTAATTTACGGATGGAATAATTGTACAGTAAGTAGGTGGAGAGGTCCTTGAAAAACAGATAGACTTATAACAAGTACTAGGCTCTACAAAAAAAACATTAGGAGAGTAATACAGCTTTAACCGTAAAATATCTGCCATTTCAAAAACCTGTTTCGTTGGTTAATTTATTGTAATGCTTAATTTTACACCTAAAAACTAAACTTTTGGTCTTAGGAACCAATATCTAAATCATAATGAGAGCAACAGTTAGCATCAGAATTAAATCCAGATAAGAAACCAGTATTGCCATTGACAAAAAATATAACTTTTTAATTGGCTTATCCATTTTTCTAGACGATAATAAATTAGTATTCTACCATAAGTTCTAGTACAGTAAGAAAAGTGGTTATGACAAGGCGAAAACGGGTTGTATTCGTATGTTAAAACGTTTATATTTTTGTCTCCTTGTTAGGCTCCAACAACATAACGACTTGATTATCCATTCAAAAGGTAATCTCTGGTTGCTCGTTAATCTTGCAGTTAAACTATAACACAGGAGAGGAAGAGAGGGGAGAGAAGAAGAAGAAGAAGAAGAAGGGCTGGTGACAGCCACAATGTAACGATAATTACTCACTATCCATTTATTATTCCACCCTTCCCTTAGTGGATGATGCTTGAGTGAAAATGGATTTCTCTGAATCGAATTTCGAAATATACGGGAATCTAAAGATAGGAATCATAGTGGTATGGATATGTGTAGGAGAATTTCCATTTGGAAAATAGCTATTACCGTTGCTGGCAAAGTAAGAGCTGGGACAGATTTACTTTTTCATTTTTTTAAATCCCCATAGAGCAAAAACACTACTCGTGAAAATTACTACCTATATTTTTGCATAGTTTTACCTATCTTCACATTCACGCCCAAATGTTATCAAATTTGGACCAAAATTACTCAATTTCTCGTTTTTACGAGTGTATATTTTTGTGCATGTGTATGTTAATAGTATGGTATAAAATAAATACATTTATCATATTATGCATAAACAAGCAAACTAAAACATACTTTAAGTATAAAAGTCTTGTGGGTTTTCTCTTAACTTAATTGTACAACAATGCTTCAATATGTTTTTAGTTATACACGATAAATGCAATACAAATTGACATTTTAATCTTTTAAAGGTCAAATGTAAAAAAAACAATTTCTGAAAAAGATTAACGTTCCACTAACCCAATCTCTCTGGTTCGAGTTTGCGCACCCCGTTTATAAAGTTTATCTCGTCATATAAATTTATTTATGCCAAATTATATCAAAATCGGACCAAAATTGCACGAATGTTCATAAAACTGAAAAAGTATTTCGGTCCCAGCTCTAGGTCTTACCGTGCTACCTACGGTGTTATCTTTCTCCGTATAGGGGGATTTACTAAAATGTGTAATAACTTGTTTATACCATTTTGTAGCAGACATTGTAAACACATCCAGTTTATAGAGTTTTTTACAGCTCATCTCACTAAACGTCCTCCGTGTTCATCACCATAAACTTTACACCCCTGTTACAGACAATTTTGTCTCTTTTTTATTTGGAAATAAAACCAAGATGTGGGCTTAGCATTGGTGTAGTCTGTAGACAAAATGTAAACACATTTTATTTCATAGTGTATTACTAGATGGGCTCCTCGCTCAGTTTGATGTAGCCATCAATATTTTGTATATGTTTAAATCACGCATTCAATAGAGAAGAGTGATTGAATTATGACGAAATGCTTTATTAGAAGGGTTATTTTTTACTCGCAACCACATATCATTTTATTGCTAGCTGAGGAGGTTCATCTACGTAAAATAGGTTTCTTTTCTTTACATACCTCTGTTTTTTATTGACAATTATTATTAGCTTAAAGTAAGCTTCGAACCGCCGGCATTGCCACATATCACGAAAGCTCTAACAAAATAAGTCGTCTACTTAGTAGACACTAGTTTTCTATTTGTATAGTTTTTTGTATATGTAAAAATATCATCGAAAAATTGTAAGTTGAACATTGAAGGGTTGAGGCTGAGCTATTGGTTTTGGATTGTGAATTCTGTCGTAACAGTTCGGGCTCAAGTCCTACTGTGATAATACATTAACCAGATGATCCTGAAGCACACTTCAAGCTGTAGAGCAACCTATCTAGAAAACAATGAAGAATATGTAAATCGAGGAAAAATATTTCTACATTGGAGAACTATATCTCCTAAAAGCCATTTGTCGAAAATTCTCATCTTAAAATCTAGATATAATCGAAACCTACTCCTAGACATCCAGGTGCATAGGAGTTATGAATTGAATAGTAGGCATAGTAAAATAAATAAATAGTAGGCTATGTTTAAACAATAATAAATTATCAAAAGTGTTCTTATCGTCATCTCAGGGCGATCGTAGTTTCAAGTCAAATTGTTTCCAAAAGCCATGAAAGCTTTAGTCCACGACCACCCATTTGATCAAATCACTCAATATTATGACTTATACCTTACCTAACCTAACCTGAATTCTTACACCCTGACTAACCTCCACTCTTAAGACACTGATATCAAAGAGGAAGTCAGTGTTTTTATTTTACTTTACATCACTGATACCTTTGATATTTTCTCTTCCTACACTATTTCTTATCATATTTCAGTGTTGTCTATCAGTGAGGGCCACAACCTGAGCTGTTACCAGTGTGTGAGGACCAGCAATACACAGTGTGGTCCAGAGTTCCTGCTCCCGTGTCCTTCCAATAAGGATCGCTGCGTCACACACATCACCAAAGACGGTGAGCGGACAATAAACTCGTACACTTTACTATAGTGTCATACGAATTATTTTATCAATGGTATTACGCTGACACTGACAAATCAGTGTGTATGTTTATGCGAAGATTAAGTAATGAGTGTTGAATGAAAGTTTATCTTCGTTACCTACTGAGATCAGCTGTTTATTTAGCTGACCATTATTAGTAAAATGATTAAAACCCAGGTTTAGTTTCTAACCATGTAAACAAATTCTGGTTTTACTCAGGGTCAAACCTGTGTCTTTTACGTTGCTAGGCAACCACTAAAAGCACTCAGTTAAATGTATGTCTGTTCTTTAATCGCGAAAATAGCTAGACTAAATTAGTTCAGATTTTGATCATAGATCCTGCAAAGTGGCAGCCTCGATTAATATTACATTCACCTTAGCACATTGGTCTCAAAGGTATGTGCGTGGATCGTATATTGATAGAGGATACGTGTTTTGTATCCTGAATATTTTAGAAGATCAAAGTGATAAGGATCACTATGTAGCAGGCCTGTTGGTAATCAAACTGTCATTAAATTGTTTACACACCAGGTTTATTTAACTCATGTCTCAGAAAAAAACTCATTTTTTAAATAACATTTGTATAGTTGTCATGTAACGAAGAGAATATGCAATAAGTTAGAAGACGTGAATAAATATTTACACACCGAGATACAATGAAGACATTTGAAATTATAATTGATCAAGTTCTTAGAAGTAATTTCACTTGCAGATTAAGCTACATTTGAGTTTACTTTATCACGTAGGGAACTCAATATTTCTTTGTTGGAGTGATACAATTTGGAACCTTTTTCATTAATTCACTACCACTAGTGGAATGTGGTTAGGTTAGGTTAGGGTTTTATAACTACCACTTCTATTACTAATAAACTATTGCTCTAAAAACTAGTGGTAGTAAACTAATGTAATATGTCCCAATTTGGCTATTCAAATATTCCAGTTTTGGCATTTACATTGCAGATTCCATCGTTAAAAGATTTCAGTTTGTCGAGGCTATCGTCTAGTTCACGAGACACTAATACTTCTTCAAATTTCGCCAAAAATACGTACTTTGGTGTTTTTATTTTCCAATATATCGTTCAAACTAATCGAGCATTACTTTATTTTCAATCAACGTATTGGGTGAAAAAGACTACGGGGAAAACTTCAAGAAAACCGGTCAAAAGCAGCTTCGTTTAACTTTCCAAGAGCGGAGTCAAGGGAGGAAACGAGGGGCAGCTTTTGATCATTGTTCAGCTCACCGAGTTGTTAGTTGTATAGAAGGGAGGACGGAAAGATTACAGAGAGGAGGCACCACAAATGAACGTTCTTTCTCATCAAACTTCTGATTTTCAGTCTTTTCATTAGAGTTTGGAAAAAATTGTGGGGATTTTTACTGTTTGTGAATGTTGTTATTGTTGTAGCTAACGTATTAGGTTCCAAGAATTGGTTAAAGTTTACAGTCCAGTTTCAATCCATTATTTCAGTGTTAGTATGTTATGTGTAATTTCCCTGCAAAGCTTGTTTAGAATTACTGCCCTATACTACATTTTATTAGCAAGCTAATGTTTTGCGTTGAATACAATACGTTAATAGGATAATAATAGGATAAATAAACAGAATCAACGCAATTACCAAAATTTACTTTCCATCTATCATTTAATTTGCCCTAGACTTCGTTAGGCAATTTTTTACAGAGTAAAAAAGTTCACATCAAAACTCTTGCAGTGAAAAGGCTGAAAATATTAAATTCTAAATTCCACAAGTACCTGCCTATTATGGAAAATAAAACTCTTGTAGAGAAAACTGAATACATTTTCAGTTTTGAATATTAATATCTTACATGCCAAAGTCTATTCCACATTTGGAATAATTGATGAAAAGACTTGGCCTGAGCAAGGCAGTAAGTTATGTTAAGTTATGCAGTAAGTTTAGGCATCTGGGATCCTCGTAATAGGGTTTAATGTTCATTTATATCTTTAAAAATCTTTACTTCCTTTATAGAACCTTTTTGTAAAATGTTGTAATTCTTCCTGGAATTTCTAGCCATTTCCGGGTTAACCACGATTAGAGTTGAAAAGTGCTAGGCTACCAGACGTTTCGTCCTTGTTTTGTAAGAGGCGTCCTCAATTGTTGGGTTTAGACAGTCTCAGATTTTCGAAAACTACCTCCATCTAAGCCAAACTAC